TGTCAGATTGAGCATCCGTGAGAGCTGCAGACGTTTCTCTTTGTTGATGTAAACGCTGAAAAAGAACTCCCTTTCCAGTTCCCTGATCTGATACTTTGAGTATGGACATCTCTTCTTGCGCGTCCTCTGGCCACCTGAAAGAGAAATAAATAAAAAAGGTCACCACATAAGATATTATAGACACATTGCAACAACATGAAATCATTAGTCTATTTCCTGCTTTGGAGCAGCAGTGGTGGTCTAACATGAGCTTTGGAGTTCAAGTGTCTCCTTCCTCTCAGGCCTACAGGACCGAGATTTGTAAACAAAGACTGGACTTGATAGTGGGACGTGTTGGGCATGAAGCATTGCGTGTCGGAAGTTGTGAAAACTTATTGAAATCTGTAAAACCATACTGGCTGGTTTTTAAGGGTGAGGGCGAGGGCCTTATCCAAACAGTCATGGGTATCATGTATCTGATATGCTTGTACTGTCCGCTTTTTGATTTCACTGTGCGTAAAGAGCTGTTGTTTTAGTGATAGAGAGGCAAATTTCATGGAGAGCGGTTGTTGAATTAAATCCCCGCAAATCCGGTGCATTTGTCAATATTTATGTTTAAATAAGGAGCAGGGTTTAATCCTAAATCTGGTTCAAAGTCAGGTTAAAATGCCCCAGCAGCCCACATAAATCAGCCCACAATAAACCAAATTATAAATCCAAAAGCAAACATGTTAAAATATATATATATAACAAAATAATAATAATCACATAGACACAAACATGGGCCTTAAAGGGTGTATCTAGAATGTTTATATTTGTTACTTCACTAGTAATTTATAAAAGGCTGTTTACAGGCTAACTATACAAGCAGATTTGAGCACACATATGGAGAGAAAAGTGGAGATCTTGTTTGAAATCTTGGAAGACAAGCTTAACGCCAAAGTCTTCACGGCCAATTTCAATCCCAAGCACGTGATCTTGTCGTTTATAACATAGTTTTTTGTTATAGGGTAAATCTGCAGGCCCTCCATAAACCTTACGTGCTTATAAAACAGCATATAAAAATCTTTAAGAGCAACGCGTTAGATTTTTCTCCTTCTTGCGCCGAGCAGGGGCTGTTACTCACTGCTGCTTTTGCTCTGTTTCTCCTCGCTGTGGCCGGAGGAAGACTTGGGGCTGAAGCTCTCCGCCGTGTCCGAGCCCGGGTGAGCCGGAGGAGCGGGGCTTGTTTTGGCGGCGTGTCTGTCCGTGTCCGCTGTCGGTTGTGCTGTCGGTGTTGTGCTGCTCTCTGCACCCCCGTAGGCGGTGTCGAAGAACTGGTCAAACGCCTGCGGCAGGACGCCGTTCCTCCCAACGCTGCCATAGAAGCCGGGCGTCGGGTTGGAGGAGCCGGAGTGGCCGGCGCTGGAGCTGCCTTTCACCAGGATCTCTGCGCCCCGTGAGGTCGGGCTCGACGTCCAGCCGTCCCGGCTGTGCACTATGTCCTCGGTGTAGCAGTGCGATAGGCTCCCCCTGCTGTGGTGCCATTTACTCGATGTGTCAATTCCATAGTCTCTGAAAGCCACATCTCTCACGGACGGGACCTGTGGCAGGGCTGAGGACTGGTAGGGGTATGTCATGGGGCAAGAGGACTGGCTCTGGGTTAAATAATGAGGGAGACCCGAGAAGTCGGCTCCGGAGACGTAGTAAGTGCAGCTCGGTAAATACATATTAGAGCCAGAGATGCGCTCATCAAAATCCATATTCTGCTGTTGGAAACGTCCTATAATAATCCTCGCATAGTTCCTCCGCGGCGCTGCGCTCCAGTCACTTTGAGGCAGACTGGTGGAGCAGAAATCCTTAGACGTACAAGCTGACGTGGGGATCCATCTCTATCCATTCCTGAGGGCCAAAGCCATGTGACCACTGGCACAAAATGACAGATAGCCTACGCCTCAACGTGTAGGCTATAGGCCTATGAGTCAATGAGTTTATAAAGTAGAGCTTTGGCTGTATGGGAAAGGAAAAATACTGAGATGGGAATTTTGCATAGACGCAATTTAGGCTATTTTGAAAGAGCTAAATAATTGAAACAGGGGTTGTTTTCCACCGTAGAGCCTCCGTAGGGTTGCTTCTATCTGGCTGCAGACAATCGTCGTTAAATTATCACATTACAAGGAAGAACAAAAGACAGAATTGTATCCAATTTCACGCCAAGCTGCTTAACCTGTCTTCTTTTTTTTTTTTACCTTTTAAGTTCGTTTTTAAACCTCACCTTAACCCTAACCTTAACCTCTGCAGAGACGCCTGAAACATTAGGTGGATGGAGATCATATTTTTAGACCAAAGGCAACACGATTTAGACTTTGTTATGCACGTAGGGCTTAATCCCTGTGCCGCAAATAACACTTAGGCTAAACAAACCAAAGAACTTGTTGAGTTTGACAGGACAGGTCTTTATTTAAAATACGTTTGTGCCTGTGCCGCACATGTGTCAGTTATTTTTGAAGCTGTATGATGAATTTAATCTATTTTAAATGATTTCCTCAGTGAGCCAGTGGCAGGTATGAATTCGTCGTCTCTCTATGTGAATTTAATATAGCTCCTCTGGCTATATTTAGACGAATCTAGTCCACAAGTGGCGAAGTAATGCGAGTCATGCTGCACTGCATGTCAGGCGTCAGTCCAGTTTGACACCCCGGGACAAAAAGACAATAGCCTGTAAAGACAGACTTAGATCCCTCTTGGTTGCTATGTGTTTGTTTAGACAAGCTTTTTCATGATCATAAAGGCACGCCAGCTCTTCTCTGCTCTGCAGCGGACTTCATTATGCCCAAATGTATGTTTTATTGCATGCTGTTTTGTCAGCTTATGCGCGTAAAAGTTGCTCTTTAATTATTAAGTTAAAACTCTAAAACTCATGCATATTGTGATTCAAGACTAATTTCATGGAGGATTCGTGTTGCGCAAAAATAAAATGTTAGGATGGAAATTAGAAGCGGGCCAGAAGCAGCCTGACTGAAGTTCATATGAGGGTACACCGGCTGATGTATTCAACGTAAACATACAGATGTTGCTCATGAATAATAAAAGCATTTACCGAAAGGGGCTCCAATATTTGCATCGCCTGTTCTCTCTTTCCCAACGCCCAATATAAACCTTTGGACACGGGCTATTTCCCACAGTCCAATCCATTTTCATTTGTCATCACCGCTGAGTAAGTGGGCACATGTGTCACATATCACTGATCCTGTTATGCAGCCAGTTTCAGAATTTAGTCCAAATTCACTTTTCATACATCAAAGCCTGTGAATTTGTCATGTGCAGGGAAGCATTAGAGACTGTGTAATATTTCATTCCACCCAGGTGGTTTGCAGTTTGGCTTCAACGCATTGAGCTTCATTCAGCGGCTGTCTTATCACTGTGTGCAACTGTTCATTCATCTGCCGTTTATAACAGTCCTGCATGATAAATTAGACGATAATTGCCACCTTTATTCTTTTGTATTCTGACGGAGCCTCAGCATTCAGAAGGAGGCTGCAGGAGTGGGCCCAGATTGTCACATTAAAACCTCCTTTGCTTCTTCGTCCCACAGCACGGTTCTCAAAAACAGCTTCAACCACAGAGAATATTGGGTTACACGTCCCGAGCCAGTAAATGCGCATTAATCCACCGAAATAAGCGAGGCCGTTTTCATTAAGATTAGACTAGTTTACATGTATGTAAACCCAAAAAACTGGTAAACCTTGACCTCCAGCCGGTTATCATGATGAGGAAAACAAATGCGCACTTCCATACAATTTAAATGTCTCTTTTTCCAGATCCTCTTTCCCTTGTTCGAAATGATTAATTTAACCAAATAAAAGACGAATTATAATGACAGCTGAAAAGATGGGTTAATACTGTGAGTAAAAAGGGTAAATTAAATCTAACATAACAAAACATGTTGATATCTTTGTTTAGACAACCACATGAAAGTCAAGGCTGGTTGGTCGTTTCTGAGTCGCCTTGAAAGGTTCAAATGCAATAAAGTTGGAGGGGGGAAATAAAAAAAACATGAGGCCTTAGGTCTGCAGCACAAGCTCTCAGAGGAATAAATGTATAAGATTTATTTAGTGTAATAGAAAATACAAAAGCTGAAGGTATAAACATAGATGTAGCAGCCACTGGTGGAGGCGGTTAAATTGGATTTTAAAAACAAAAGCAGTTTTCTTGGTTTCTCTGAGTTTTCCTTCGACACTTTTGGAGGAATGTGGTTCAGCTTAACTACCTGGAAATCTGTCTGCGCCTCCTGCCTTTTTCCTGGTTCCTGAGTTCATTTCACAAGGGGGACATTTGCTAATATTTAGTTAAAATGTGCCGTGTGCAGTTTAAAACGTGTACAGTTTGCACTAAATACATTACAGGTTTATTTAAATAACTATGAGTTCGAACAATAGATGGAAAGTTTGCCTTTTTTTTTTATCTCATCCCATCGGAAACACGCCTAATTTATTTAAATGTATGTGAGCATTATGGTGTAACCTAAAAATGTATCAAAACAGAATTAATTAAAATTGTGTGCCTATGAATTGAAGGAGTTGTAAATCAATAAAACAGTGACAGCAGGTTTCAGTCCAGTGTTTTGAATTGTGGTGTTGGGACGACTCTGTGTTTACATTTAGATCACGGATTATGCCTTCAAAGAAAATTGTTCAGGAGGAAACCAAACAAGAAAACATCCCTTAATCCCTTCACTTTTCTGATATTTGATTTTAAAGTGTTTATAAAGAAGAAGCAAATAGCAAACGGATTTATTACTTTCTATTCTTTTCAGTGTAGTGACTGCAATGCTTTCAAACCGTATTTCCAATAGCCAGTTTATTAGAGTTTAGTATGACAGCCCTCCCTGAAGGCAACAGAATGATTAAAAAATGATTGATGTTAACTCAGGATTTGGATTTGGAAGCTGAAAAGAAAGTATCTCACATTAGTTTTATTAATAATGGACTGTTTGTATAAGATACACATATTTTCCCATAAGCCACTGAGGGCTTGTCATGCGCCAACCACATACTTATGGCTCCAAAAGTAGGCTTATATACGAGGTAACCTTCTGCTTACAAAGAAGAAAGAGATCATTTTATTTATTAACTATAGTGGGATAGAGGAAATAAGTTCATTACAACACTGATGAAAATAACTCAATTTGAACGTACAGAATAATTAAACTTTTGATGTCTTTAAAGAAACGGAACTGAAAAAGATGGTGACTGTGAGCACATACAGGGAGGGGAGGGGAGCATCTCCGGAAGCAGTGCACTGCTGGGGGGTGGGGGGTGGGGGGGCTACAGCTGAAGCTGCTGTAAAACACAACAAAAACATTG